AGACTCTGTCTCAAAAAAAAAAAAAAAAAAAAAGCGAGGGGTAGGGGAAGGGAAGTTTCATAGCCTTAGAATGCATGCATTCTATCTTATTTTTCTTAAGAAGTTGCGCAAAATCGGGCCTGGAATTTCACTCCAGCAGTGCTTTTTGCTGCTGCCACATGAGGCTTATTAAGGGCAGGATTTTCTCCTGACACCTGGCTTTCCTCACTGCTTCCTCTCGGGAGGCCTCTCTAACCTTGCTTCTGTGTGGACTCAGGCAGCTATAATTGGTTTAAATGTGCAGCTAGACCCCACCCTTAATCTAAGGCAGCGGTTCTCTACTGTGACTGCCATTAGAATCGCGACTTCCTTTCTCACCAGTTTCCCCCTGTCACTTTCCCACCTTAAACATCTCACTAGCTTTTTGCACTTAGAATAAAAAGCACACTCCCCGCTGTGGCCAACATGTACTGGCTCTTGTCTTTTCTAACCTTATCTCTTGATACTCTCCTTCTACTCCAGCTGTTATTTGTCCTGACAGTGGCCTGTGAGCATGCACTTACTTCTTCCAAGAAGCTCGTATAATTTGATGCCTGGAAAACACTCCCTGGACTTAATAGCATAATGATATCATAATAATAACACTTTGTCCCATTTATTGAATGTTTTCTCTAACCCAGACAGTGTGCTAAGTGCTCTACAGGCATTAGCTTATAATTAAATTAGATGCAGCAAGCTTGTGAAGTTGGTGTTAGGGCCATTCTTTTAATGAGAGGAAACGAGGGTGTAGAGAGTTGGAGTGACTTGCCCAGGTTCCTACCGTGATTGTATGCTGGAGCCTGGCTTGAAGTCTGTCTGTCTGACTCTAAATTGGCTCTTTGGTACTGAAATTTCAGAAATATCTTGTTACCATTAAATTGTAATGATCTCACAACAATTCCTGGAGGACAATCTTAGAGCAAGCTGTAGAGTAAATTTCTTATTGACATTGAAAGTAAGCATTAATGTAACAACTACCTTCCTGGAGACAACAAAATTTTCTCAATATGTTGTGTCTTATTGATAAATAAGAGGCACTATGGTGTAAAAGTTGGGAAGAAACTCCAGAATCAAAGAGATTGGGTTCCGTCTCAGAAGCATCTGCCTTTCGTTCATATAGATCTCATTAGCATATGCACCAAATAACATTCCAATCTAGGCACTTGCCATACATCAGCGCACAATCCAGTGGGATGATTTAAAATTTTGGTCCTATAAGCTGTTTTGTCTTGGAGGCTCACTATAGCATTATCACTCTTTTTGTTGAATTCAGTATAAATGTGATCTATCTCCTATTCCAAGGGGGTCTATTTGAGCCAGTCTTGTGACACATCTCCTAACAGCAATCTTATAGGAAAGCTCTAGTACAGTCTGCTTTCTTTTTTTCTTTCTTTCTTCTTTCCTTCCAATTAAAATGAAACATTAAATTTAACTTTATTAGATATAACAAACTCAGGGACATTATGTTCTAATAGGGGTAGCACAATGAACACAATAAGTAAATTACAGTATATGTTAGAAGATGGAAAGTACTTTGTGGGGGTGGGTAATAAGATCAGGCAGGGGAAAATATGGACGACAACATGAACAAGTTGCAGTGTTAAACAGGCGGTCAGCGAGGTGGGTCTTGTTTAGAGGGTCAAGACTTGCAGGAGGTGAAGGAGTGAGCCAGGTGGCCATCTGAGGGAAGAGCAGTCCCGGAGGAGAGGTAGTGCCAGGATTAGGGCGGGAGCAGGTATGCCCACTTAAGAGCAAAGCAGCCATTATTGCCAGAGGGGACCAAGAGAGGGAGAGGCACTAGATGAGGTCAGAGAGGGTCAAAGTATTTGTTGGTGACAGTGAAATGAACTAGTGTATGTAAAGCACTTAGCACAGGGTCTGGCCCAGAGCCGCAGAGCCCCTGCCTACCTTTTCCAGCCACATCTCCACTACTCCCCCTTGCAAACCCTTTGCTGCATGTATAACAGAAAGCTCTTTGAGGATTCCCCCAATATGCATGCTGCTTTAAACCTTTCTGCTTTTGCACACACCTAAGATACCCTTCTTCCATCTCTTGTCATTCTGATAAACTCCTTCGAGACTGGCCGTGGGCCCTTCTCTGGGAAAACTTCTTTGACTCCCTCTAAGGCGAGCTGATGCTTCCTTCTCTGGACCATCACGCACAGTACTTTGTATATATGTTTGTTATAAATAACTGATAGCTGATGACAACTAACATTTAATGAGCACTTATTATGTGCCGTGCACTAAGTCCTTTATGTGTTTTTCTTTTATTCCTCACAACAACCCTAAAAGGTATATCCTATTGTATTTTCATCCACATTTTACAGATGAATAAATAAAGGCATGAAGAAGTTTAGCAACTTGCCTAAGATCATTCTGCTACTAAGTGGTGGCGCCAGGAGGCGAACACAAGGTTTCTGGCTCCAGAGCCTTTGAGTTTTCGTAATCATTATACTGCACCTTCACCGTACTTACTATATATGAGGCAGCGTGCACATCACACTGTATTGCAAATGATAGTGTGTGTGCATGTGTCTCGTGTATTATTTGTGAATTCTTTGAGGGCAGGGAACCATGTTAAATTCACGTTTGCTCTTTGGGGCTTTGTACACATGGTTCCTTAATTCAACTGTGATGAGAATAAAATATTCTTCTACGTAATTTCTAAGACATGGGACATACGTGAAATGCAAATGATCATATGTCACTGATTCTGAATTTCATTTGGTTTTGAATTTCATTTTAATCATATTGCTGTGCTTCTGCTTCTCTCCAGACCAGCATTAAAGAGGGACAACTGTTGAAGCAAACCAGTTCTTTCCAAAGGTGGAAAAAGCGATACTTCAAACTTCGAGGCCGTACACTTTACTATGCAAAGGACTCAAAGGTAATTCAGGAGAATCCACTAGTTCCAAGCACTTGAGCTTGTGGGTGGATTTAAAATTTTGGTTGTTTAAGCTGTTTTTGTCTTAAAGGCTCACTGTAGCATTACTGCTCTTACATGAATTCGGTATAAATGTGATCCATCTTGGACCCCATACCAAGGAGGTCACTATTTGAGTCAGTCCCATGACATGTCCCTAAGGATAATCTTTTAGGAATGTTCTAGTGTAGTTGTTTTCTTTCTTTCTTCCTTTCTTTTCTCCTTCCAATTAAACGTAGCCTTATGAGATGTATTAAACTCAAAATGTTGGGTTTCTCCCTTTTCTGCCACTTTTTACCCTATAAATCTTTCCTTGACCATGAGAGAGAGAGAGAGAGAGAATCTCTATACTGGCTAAGAACTCATGCTCTGTCTGGGTTCAGACAAGAGTTCATATCCCACTTCCAGCACATTCCAGCAGAGTGGCTGTGGTTAGCATGTGTTGTTGAGAGGAGGCTTCCGGGAGATAATATACATCAATTGCTCCCATAGAACCTGACACAAAATAATCACTGCAGCATGCTAGCAATTAAGAATAAAAATCATATTGAAATAAAATCAAGATAAAACAATTGTTATATATAATAACAGTTCAACCAAATAATAATAATGCAGTTTTGGGAGAAAAATTTGTCATGATGAGCCTCTATTAAAACTGATATTTTAGTATTACTTCAAAAATAAACATGAAGATTTCTTGCTACTGTGCCAGTTGAATAATCATTTCCATTTTAAAAAAATGAATGTGCCTGATATAATTAGTAGAGTTATACACTAGGAGGTAAAAACAAATAAACAAACCTAATTCTTAGATTATGCAGCTATAGAAATAATAACCAAATAAAATAATCTTATTTTATAAGTCATTATGTTCAAGCTTGTCCCTGATCTGGCTCCATCCCGATTTTTCACTTTTATCTCTAGACAGCCTTGAGCCTTCAGCTTGGGCCCATGCGGACCATCTCCAGAATGACTTTTCCTTTATCCCCACTTGATGAAATTCCCTGTTTTCTTTAAGGTCCACCTCCAATAGTCCTGATTCTATCATTCACAAGAGAAAGAGTTCAGTTATTTTCTGCTGGAGAAATCTTCTGTGACCTTCTATAGCATTTCATTATATCTCTTCTCTTTCACTTTTATAATAATTGTCTATCTTACATTTCAAGTTAGTTGCATCTATTTCATCTCCTGTGCTAGACTGTAAATTCCTTGCAGTCGAGGAGCAAGTCTTACAATCAGATTGGTTGAATTGAAGTAGACTCGCATAACCCTCTGGAGAGCTTGGGGTGGGATGGAAGCTATCAGAAAAGGGGGGCCCTTTTTCTGCAGTTCTAGGGGTGCACTGTTTTGTCTGTCTGGCTGGAAGAACACTGAATGAGTGCGAACAATGACTGACTGAAAGTGGAAGCATACATTTATTTACTAGAATTTCCTAGTTGCTATCTCGTATGTTTTAAAACATTCCATTTCTATGGAGTTTTTACCACTGAAACTTTTTTGGTTAAGACAACTTTTAAGAATATAAAAAACCCCATCATTTTCTACTTGCAGAGCACATTCATCATCTCCTTTGAACACTTATTTATAGATGAGAAAAATAAGATTCAGAAAGTTCAGTAACTCATCGTAACCTCAGACAGGACTAGTTTTCAGTTCTCACTGAGCAAACCTGGGAACTAGTGTGCTTCCTGGCAGAGTTGTTGCAAGCTTTAGAGATAGTGTGTGTGTGTGTGTGTGTGTGTGTGTGTGTGTGTGAGTGAGACACACTCAGCAGGCTCCCCATAAGTGGTAGTTATGCTTCCAGAGAGCACAGAGCATTTGCATTGAAACAGCGTGCCCCAGGGGTTCTTTGAAGTCCTTTTCAATTTGGGATTTACGGATTAGTTGTACTTTATAGTTTTATTCATCCTTCCTAAGAAGAAATTGCAGAGCATCACTAACTTAACTTTTTTTTCATTTTCTATTCCTAATTCCTGACATAGCTTCATAGTCATGAACTGATGGTAAAATCATATTGAAGAGCTTTGAGTTAGGTTTTCATCTAATGCGTTTGTGTTTTTTTTTTTTTCATTAACAGTCTCTGATATTTGATGAAGTTGACCTCTCAGATGCCAGTGTAGCTGAAGCAAGCACAAAAAATGCTAACAACAGCTTCACGGTATGATTATATTCTGCTAACTCCCTGCTCAAAAGTTATAGAAAGACCTTTCTAAAGCATGTACAGAATGCCCTGTTCAGTTACCAAATGTGTGTCAACGTGTGCATGTTGGAACTCTTTCAAACACAGTGAACTCTAAGTACATTGCATATTCTAACACCCAGTACCGTTTGTGATTGTTTGGCTCAGTTAACCTGGGCTTAAATGTACTTTTAAAAATAATTTATATTTTTTCCTTTTTAGACTTTTTAATTTTAGTAGTTTAAATTTTCACCACCTTTCAATTAATTTCATTGTTCTTGAATATTTAAAAAGTTTATTTATCTTCAGTATTAAAAATAATATTTTCTCCATCTGTTCTACTTTCACTCCAGTTGCCGTTGTTGGGGCACTCGCTGTAGTTCTGGCCTTCGTTTCTTCTCACTTAGGTAATTCATTTGGCAGCTGCTCAAGAGGGGTCCTCTGTTCCAGTTTCTTCTTTTCCAATCACAGATCACGTTGCTTAAAAGACCTCCCTGGTTCCACATTGCCTGCAGATTGCATCTCCAACTCAGTCTTCAAGTTTTGTATGATCACGCCGCAGTATTTTAGTGTCACCTGACAATTATTTGTCCTTAAATGCCCCACCGGTTCATCAATTCTGTCTGTGCCCGCGCTTTCCCTGTTCTCTCCGACTTGAGTGATTCCTCCCCCGTCTATAGCTGTTGAAACCCTACCAGTTCTTCAAAGCTTATTTTAGATATCCCATTTTTTTCCTACTTCTTTCATTCACAAAATATGGATTGAGTTTCCACTATGTGCCAGACACTTGTGCCAGTTACATGAAATTCAGAGATGAATACATATCGTATTTCCCTCAAGATATTCACAGTGAAGTTCACGTGGGGTACTGTTTATAACTACATATTCCGTGGGTCCTCTAAGATGCATTGCTCTAGCCAAGTTGTCACCCCATTCACACTCCCAGTCCCCTCTTTAGGAGGTCCCCGCTAAGGACAGTAGTGTTATGCCTGTTCCCTAGGTGTGCCAGGACAGGGAGGACAGAGCAGTGCCATGACAGAGGTGAGCACTGGTGGGGCTGGGCTGGGGGAGGAAGCATATGAACTTGGATTTGGTCTTATTGATTTATGGGCATGTGGGATAATTCATAGTGTAAATATTCCTCCCCCTCTCCCCCATCCCCAGGGAGAGTTTAGTTTGAGAAGAGGAAAGCCAAGAATAGAGTCCTGGGAAAATGTTAAAATTCAAGGTCCAGGAAAATGTTAAAATTCAAGGTCCGACACATAGAGACTGAGTGCAAAGAAGGAGAATCAGGAGGCGATGATGTTTTAAAACCCCAGTGGAATGGAGTTTCATGGTGGAAGTCGTTAAACACCATATACTGTGGAGAGGTCGAGTCAAGGAAGAATTGGAAGGTGGTTGTTGAGTGTGTCATGAATAACTTGGAGTTCATTTGGCCCCGTCGATGTGAGTAGTTTCAGCGGGTGGCATGCTTTGGGTCATACTGAGAGTGCACGGTGAGAGGCACAGAGACAGCCAGGCTAGATGACTTTTTCTAAAAGGTTGGCTGTTAAAAGAAGGAGAAGAGATATAGCTAGTAGAATGCTTAGACCAGAAGAAAGTTTTGGTTTTGTCATTGTTGTTCTTTTGCTATGTTTTAAAAATGGATTTTGAGTGTGTTTATACGAAGAGAGGAAAGAATTGCTAGAACCCAAAGTCGAAGATTCAGGAGCGAGAGGGAGTGATGGATGGAGCATGACTGTTGAGTAAGCTGAAGGGGTAGGAACCAGAGCGCAGGTTGGGGGATCAGCGTTGAACAGGACACAGAAAGCTTAAGGAAGCAGAGGGGGCCAGGAGGTTCATATGTTTCAAAGCCACATATTCCTATTTTCTCAGTGAAATTGAAGGCCAAAGTTATCTGCTATGAGTGAAAGTTTAGGATGGTTTGGAGTGGCTTCTGTAGAAAAAGAGAATTGAAACTGAACAGGGACCTGTAGAAGATTGCTAAGTAGTGAATAGTGTCTACTAAAGATTAGAGATCAAGTTCAGTAATGTCCTTGATTCCTATGCCTGTGACATTTTCTTTAAGTGGGAGTAGAGAACAAACGAATGAGGTGACCCAGGGTTGATGGTTATAGGGCACACTGGACAGAAAGATAAAGCGATTGCTGGATGTTTGAGGGATCAGTATCTCATCCGTCTTTCCCCTCTGAGGTCTCGGTTTTTGAGAATAAGGTATAAGGAGTAAGGGACAGCTTTGTTAATGGCTGAACGGAATCCAATAACCACTAAACACAGGGCTTCTGATAAATTGTTGGAGGCGTAAGGCCAAATGATGCTTATTCCTTCTTTCTTGCGAGTGAAGGTGGACTAGGGTGGAGTAGAAAGAGCCTCACCAGTCCTACCAATGAGGTCAGCCGCTTGTCTTCCCCTCTGCAGTGAACAATAGTTCTCTTCCCGCTATGGAGCTTTACGGAGGCGGAGATAAGAGTTCCTCCCGAACAGAGATTTATTTTTTTAATACTTCTTAATTTTGTTTTTTAACTGACATATAATCATACATATTTATGGGGTACATAGTGATGTTTCAATACACATAATGTCTAGTGATCAGATTGGGGTAATTAGTGTATCTATCATCTCAAACTTTTATCATTTCTTTGTGTTGGGAACATTTAATATCCTCCTTGTAGCTATTTGAAACCACATATTATTGTTAACTATTGTCATCCTATGGTGCTATAGAATGTAGAACTTACTCCTTTTATCCAGCTATGATTTTGTAACCTTTGGGAGTTTAGTCTGAAAGAGGGTTTCAAAGTTTAAAATTTGAAGGACGGAGTAATTTCAGGTGAAGACACGGTGTCAGAGTAGATAAAATAAAGGGAACCGAATGGCATGGGTTTGGAGAGGTTATTGAGATCCTTTGTACAGCTGTTTCTTGGCTGTTCAATGACACGTGATCTCTCCTGTTGTATCTTTCTTATAGAACTTACCACATTCTGCCTTATACTTAGTTAAGTACTTATTTTTATTATAACCTCCTTGAGGACAGGGACTGTCATATCTTTTTCCCTCATAGTGCCTTATCCATATGTACTTGTTGATTTTAATTAATAAGATGAAAGTTTATTTCAGGCTTGAGAAGATACTTGTTGAAATATTTTCAAGAAATTTCTTCATTCAACCAAATGTTATTTCTGAAGTTTGTTGGATTAGAAATGTAGGGACTAAGAAGTTAGGCAGATTGCTTAGGGTTCTACAGCACGTGAATTTGGTAGAACTTTCCAGGATATGAAAAGGAGCAAGAGAATGTTTTTAAACAGTAATTGACAACCTCCCTGTCTTCGACACTGCCATTGTGGCTAGCTCACGTCAGAGGTTAATAGTGTCACGTGATGGTATCATGGCTGGAGGATGCAGGAATGGCCAAATTCTGCTTCATTACATCCATCCCTTATCTCTTAGAAGTTCCTAAGCATGATATGTTGACAAAGTACAATATAAATAGTAACTGAAAAATGGGCAACCTGCACTTTGCCTGAAAGCCCAATGTCGAACTCTCTGGTAAAACAGGCTATAGAGACCAGGGAAGCAACTGACCTACTTTGGGAAGCTCAGCGTCCCTTCCACTGCATTTGACTGGTGTGCACGAGTCACTAATGCCGGCCAGCCAAGCTTTAAGGGGTAGAGACACAGACAATCAAGACAATGGTGTCAAAGGAGTGGGGGACATGCTTTAAAACCTGTATACAGTATGATCGCTTTTCCTTTTTTGCACAGTCTCTCACTCCCATCCAGAGTTAATAACTGTCCTGTTTTTTTTCCATTGTCTACATTGGCTCAGGTATTGTATTAGTTTTTTATTGCTGGGTAACAAACCACCACAAACTTAGTGGCTTAAAGCAATGCCCATTTATCTCACAGTTTCTGTAGGTCACACAGTGTGGGTAGATTTCTCTGCTTTATTGAAATAAATGGATATGATAACTTAAATATGTATATGTGTGTATATTTATATATGCACACACTTTTTAATTGCCTGGAATTGGGCTTATTTTGACTGTGGTTTGAGTTTATGGTTTTACAAGTGTCACCTGCAGTAGACAACTACAACAAAGCCTGCTAACATTGAAAGCATTTTTCTATGATTTTAGGTGGCAGTGATGTGGTCAGGGAATGGGAAAGGACAATCCTTGACAGCCTTGTTGTCATTTGATAAGCTTGTAGGCTAATGTTGATTTACTTATTTGTAGTTTAAATTCCGCCATGGCATTTTATATGATTGTTAAATCTATAATATGTTCTTTTTTGTTAATTTTTAAAAATTATTCATTTTCTGTCTTATTTTATTGATGTCTGTATGCTGTTTCATTGTCACACTAACTTTTTTGTCTTTAACATAGCCCTGTGCTGCGTGTGAATGTGTTGTTCTTTTATTAGGCTGGAGAGAAGAATTAATTTCCTCTTGGTCACACAGGTGCCGCCCCGGGAAGGGGCTCCCAGATATCCTGATGTTTAATCCAAGGCTCTTTCCAATCACACAGTATCCTCCCTGTGTGGACAGTCTTTGTCTCTGCTGTTCCCTTTCTTCCCTCACCCACTGCTCTCTTTGTCTCTTTCTCATTAAGCAGAATATGTATATCCCCACGTTTTTTTTGATTTACCAAATTGCAGAGGATAGGAGCTTAGACTCTGAAGTCAGACTGCCTGGGTTTGGGTCCTGGGTCAGCCACATCCAGTTATGTGACCTTGGACAAACTAGTTTACCCCTCTAAATCCCAGTTTCCTCACCTGCAATCTGAGGATAATAAAGGTACCTGCCTCTTGGGGTTATGAGGATTAAATTAAATGTGATAATACACTAAAATACCTAGCACAGTGATGAGCACATATAGTTTAATAAATGTTAGTGGCCATTATTTTCCTGAATTTATCATCCCTCTATTTCCTTTACAAGTGGCAGTATGTTGCCAATTCCTAAAAGTTGGGGAATTTTGAAGGGGAATATGGATGAACTTTGTCTTGAGAAAAGATTCCATTAGTCCTGTCTTTCAGGGGTATAGCAAAGATTTATGTCCACTTTTATGTCATATGATTAATAATAAATATTACTGGGAAAAGCAACCATTTGGTAATGAATGAAATTATAATCTCACCTTGTTAGGTAAATGTTATTTGCTAAAGAAGAGCTTTTAAAGGATTTGAAAGTCATCACAATCACATGGTGTGTGTGAGGCTTTTAAAGCGTGCTGTTCAAATGACTGTTTTCTTTAAATTTTAATGAAGATTAGGCTAAACCTTAAACAAATGAGTCATTATTTTTAAGAAATTATTGCACTGGCATTGTTAAAACCTCTTATGAAAGTTCGGAGAGAAAGTAGAATGTGTTTTGTTTGTTTGACGTGGAAAGAAATACAGAGGTCTTTATTTTTGTTTATTTAACCACGCTTAACGTTTTCAGCGAGCGGTCTGCAGGTGTGTGCGAGATTTCGTGGGTACTGCACATCCGCACTGGCTTACTTGGTTGATAAAACACAGGCACCCTGTGGTAGCACTTATTTTTAGAACTAAATGAGCACTAGAACAAAGGGCGATTTTAGTTTAGGGGTCACTTGCCACAGCAGATGTGACCGAAAGTTGATTAGCATTAGATTATGATTCTTCCTAAGTATAACAGAAAAAGACACTAAAAAACAAAGAGAACATACTCTTATGGCATGTAAATGACAGAAAATATGCATTCATAGTATAATTGAAATGAACAGGCTGGGTTTTAATGGGAGGGAAAATGTTCTTAAGACTTTGTTTCTTTAATGTTTACTGTTTATTTTTCTGTTGGCTTCCTCTCAGTTAATATAGTTCAGTTCATCTCTCTCTTAAGAGGAATATCACATCCTTTGAACCTAAGAAAGTGTCAGTTTACTTTTATCCATTAATAGCTCAACATTTAGTTACAAAGGAAGTAACTAAAAGTTGGTTTTGTTGATATCACTGGTGAATGCACACACAAAAAATATTTAGATTATTATCTCAATAAATTGAGACAGATAAATCACTGAGACAAATAAATTGCTTACCTTATTTGATAGTATCTATTGTAACTATTATACTATATTCCTGTTCTAAATGCTTTATATCTGATAACCCATTCAGTTTGTTTTATGAATCCTGTAAGGTAAGAACTATTATGATCCCATTTGGTAGATGAGGAATCTGCGACAGAGAAGCTAACATCTAATATATGTAATAAATAGAATCTGAACCCATTTGTCATCTGGGTTCAGTCTGTATTCTTGACCACTCTGCTACCCTGCCTCTTTATTGTGGAGTTTTAAATAAATGTAGTTCAGATAGTTTTCCTCTAATTGGTCATTACACGTTCAGTTGTCTTTTCTACAAGCCAATCAGAGTCTTATGCTGCATAACCAGGTGCATAGCAAGCACTTGCCAGCCAGACTACAAATCTAGAATATGACATTATATTTTGGGCACTCTATTTTAAAGAGAAATGTTGACTAAAGAGCTCACAAAGGAAGGTAACAAATTTTATAAAAAGGTCTGTGAATCATGGGATTGATTGGCATTTAAGGGTACTTTTTATTTTAAAGACTTGGGAAAATGGGACAGATGTCTTTTTAATATTTGAAGAATTTTCATGTAGGAGAAACAGTAGATAGGTTTTGTGTTGTTAAAGTGTGCGGGACAAAGATCTGTGGTTGAATTCATGGAGGGACAATTTCAGCTCAATGTAAAAGAGAACTTTCTAACTTGAGTCATCTGATAGAACAGGCCCCTTGTGAGGTAATAGCTCTGCCCATTATTAGAAATCTTTAGTCATCTCATTCCCTGTGAGCCGGAAGAGGCCTTCAAGAAGAGAGTTCTCAGAACAGACTCAGGTTTAAAATGCTGAAATTAATTTCTCAAGGTTGGGTGACTGATAGCTGTGCACAGCTAGTGCAGAATTTGGGCCCCTCAGTTTTTGGTGTTTGTTGAGACAGACAAGGAGGAGTGGATTTAGAGATTTCTGGGCTCTATGTTAGATACTTTACACTGTCTCCTTGTACCACACAGCAAGAGCTAACTGACCATCTTTCAAGATTGCACTTGGAGAATCTTTATGTGGTGTGTGTATGTGAGAGGGGCTAAGGACAGATGGTGAAGACTGAGATTTCCTTGTAGGCACAGCCAATATCTTCTTCACCATTGAATCCCCAAGGCTAACATGGTGCCTGGCACAGAGGAGAAAGTCAATGGATATTTGTTGAATGAATGAAGGAATGTGTTCTTGTTCAGTGAATGAATGAATGATATTTGTAAACTCCAGTTTTTCTTTGTATCATTTCATGTTTTAGCCCAGAGAACACAGTTTCCTAATTTTCCCCCATGATCTTGGGTTATAAATAATATGCCCATAAATACTTGCATCCTCACTGAAGTCTTTATATAATGATCAGACTTTTTTTATGCCATGTCTTCCAAACACAATTATTTTATAGTTGTCCCACCTTTGTTTACAATATTATTAGATGTCTGATAGCAGCAAACCTCATATTTTTATGTTATGTTGGTTAAAATATTTTATGGCACTCCAAAATGATACCATATCAATGCAATTTAAGTGTTGTTGTTTTGCCTTTGAAAATTGATTTATGTATACTTCAGATGGTTTTATACAAGGAAAGTTGATAATTTATAAGTCAAGTTTAAAATTTATATCTTAAAGATTAGAGATTTTTAGAAATGATATATCTTATCATTGTTTCTGTGGGTACGTCATATTTATCTTTTCATTTAGTGATATAGCATCATTTCCAAGAATATAACCCAGAGAAATAGCTCTTAAAGTAATTATGGGCTTCCTCAGAACAAAGTCCTAGCGGGTAAGAAGCCATTGGTACTTTTGTAGCTAGACTAAAATCTTGGGTAGAGATAAGGTGTGGCAGAAGAACAGTGCCTTTGTCTCCACCTTCAGTAGTAGCCTTCCATAAATCTTTCAAGTGGGTTTTCCAAAGTAAGGCAATACTCAATCATGTCCTTGAGTATTCTGCCAACTCCGGAGATCCGGGGCTCCCTTGCAAAATCACACCATGGGAGTCCCAGCACATAGATCAGTTTCATAAAAAGGTCTGTTGTGCTCTGAATAGATACTATCAGTAAGTTGAGTGGGGTTGTTGTCATCCAAAGAGCTGTGTCCTTGGGGGTTCAGGCAGGGTATGATGATAAGTTGCCTTGCTTGTCATTACCACTTTCCCCTTCCCCTGTGCCTGGTCTTGCTAAAGATCCACGACTCAGGGAAAACTGGCACTCCTGATCCATAACCTTCAACCTGCTGCCTCCAGCACTTTTTCTGTCCTCCTGGGCTATTGCCCAGTGGCCCGCTCCCCACCATATCCTCCACTTCTAGGACTGCCCCTAGAATTCATCCATCCATTCATTTAGCAAACATTTATTGAGAGTTCATTATATGTATCAGACATTGTGCTAGATTCTGGGTATATGGTGGTGAATAAAAAGAATTGGCCATTGAGTACCAAATTTTTAAAAAGGTTTTACTTGAATTTAAATACTTTTAAAAGAATGTGGTGCCTGCCACTCAGGATAGGTCCCTATGTGGCTTTGGGAACAGGACACTTGGGATCCAAAAAACAAAGGATCACTTCCCAACTGGGACTGGAAACGGTGCCACCACAGGGCCCAGGTGATAGAAAAGAGGGGGAATTACAATTCTCTTAGCACTTGGGGCCCAGACCATTCAGGATGCCATAGATAAACTCCTTCTGGGACTGCTGCATCTGCTCTTCTCCACAAACATGCCCCCAACCCAGTATTTCTGAGGCCAAAATATGGCGACCATGTAGAACTTTTTATCCCTGAGTCTGAACACCAGTGCTTTACGAAGGAGGCCGTTAACCTTAGGCACCTTGTAGATTCCCACTAGAAGACTGCCATCCAGATGAAAAGTTTGATCAGTTTTAACTGTGTATCATGGAGGCTTGACCTTTCCAGTGCCCCTGCCATATTGAATTCAGGTTGTGTTAGCTGCTCAGGGTTGGGGTGGAGGGTCAGGTGACTGTCTAAGGATACTCTCAGAAGCTTCTGGTAAGCTACTCCCATAGGTATGGAATTCACGGTGGACGTTAGTCTTTATATCTTGGAGATAAACAGATTAGTAGTAAGAGAGTATTAAAGAGAACTGACATCTTAGAAGGTGTGGCCATACAACAACTCTGGCCCTTGACATCAGGACTGGATCAGGCCCCTCCTGGCAAGATGGAGTGATGTCTTCCATTGATCCAGACACCAGGATTGCCCAGTGACACTGTCTGCTAAGATCAACTGGTGGGGCCTCTTGTTCTCTGCAACTGGGTTGCTATTACACTTCCATAATGCTTTGTAATAATCTAGCACAACACTATTTAGTATGAATGTTGGACAGTGGGCAGCTACTGGGGCAGTAACCAGAAGTCACATAGGCTGGCCATTAATATTTCAAGTGGGCAGAGTCACTGTATTCTGTGTGTTGTAGATCTCATGTTTATAAGAGCAATGGGCTGAGTGTTTGGCCTCTGTGATCTGGTTTCTGCATAAGCCTTAGCCATTTTCTTTTTCAGAATTCCATCAATAAAGGATGATAATAATAATTAATTAATTTTCCCCAGTTACTCAACAACATTATTAGGGCTGTTCTACTTGTCAGACCCGTAGTGTGAGAAAGCTGTCAGGACCAAGCAGCTAATCCTTCTCCCTCTGGGCCCTTTGTAAGAATTCAGGTTGTTTGGGCTTTTTTTACGGTAAAGTATTCATCGCAATATATTTTAGATTGGATGTGCCTTTTCAGGATGGGTGGAATCATGCCCATTAGCAAGGACTGATGTGACTGTCCTCAAAATGACTGTAAATAAACTTCTAAAAGATTTTAACTTGAGGTTGAACATAATATCAAGGTACACACTTTATAGGATAGATTGAGTCTTCATCAATGCCTTCACTGTCCCCATCATCCAGAATCAGCAAGGGCAGTACAATGTACCATTGATGTGCACAAAGACCTATATACAAGGATATTGGCTGCACATGGTAATAACCAAAGTTGGAAACAATCCAGATGTGTAAGCTAGAGACTGACTGGTTGGAGTGAATTATGAAATTTATCACACAATGACATATTATACTGCCATTTAAAAGATGAATCAGTGCTATATGTAACAATACATACCAAACTCCCAAGTTTTATTCAGGGGAAAAGCCAGATGTATAACAGTGTGCATGTATGAAATGTTACTCTGTATGGCCAGGCGTGTGGCCCATGCTTGTAATCCTAGCACTCTGGGAGGCAGAGACGGAAGGATCGCTTGAGGCCAAGAGTTCTAGACAAGCCTGAGCAAGAGCGAGACCCCGTCTCTACAAAAACTAGAAAAATTAGCAGGGTGTGGTGGCGGTGGCGTGTGCTTGTAGTTCCAGCTACATGGGAGACTGAGACAGGAGGATCACTTGAGGTTGCAGTGAGCTATGATGACACCATTGCACTCTGGCCCAGCTGACTTTTTTTGAGACTCTGTCTCAGAAAAAAAAAATAAAAGTTACTTTGTGTGTGTGTGTGTGTGCGGGCATACATTTAAACCTCAAAAGAGCACATAGTTGTTATATATAGATGGACTATCTCTGGAGAGATATACAGGAAGCTAACAATATTTGTTTTTAGGGAGGGAAGTTGGTAACTGGGGGCAGGCTTAGGCAGGAGGCATACTTTTTATTCTAAATACATTTTGATTTATTTTTTTATCAAAATGTTTATTGTCTATTTAAAAATTTGTAAAATGGTATGTGGGAACCCCCTTTTGCCAGCTTGTTATCAGATGCATTTGACAACAGTGATGGATTTGGCAAGAAGACCACCTTGGATGCTGCCACGATGTCCAGGGAAACCAGAGTAGGGGCACGTGTCAGATTGTCTGCAATGGGAGGGAAGGAGGACTGGATGAGAGACCTCGTGCAGAAAAACGGGAGAGCCATGGCCAACGATGGGGTAGAAGGAGAGGAGGAAGCTAATGTCGCATTGTTGAGTTTGAGAGAATGGTATATAAATGATGCCTTTAATTAAGGGTAGAAAATAGGAATAAAAGTAGGTTTGTGGGGGGAGGGAGAGTGTAGGGAAGACTTCATGTCTGGACATTGTGAGTTTGAAGTGGCTCTAAGATATCCTGGCAATGTCTAGCAGGCAATTCACAGAAGTGCTTTAAACACTATTAAAAGGGCTTAAAGTACTTTTTTGGTATCATTTTCATGGCTCTTTTTAAGTTTCTAGCATATTCAAATATCTTCTCCCATTCATTAAGTATGATTATGGTGTAATGGAAAATTTAGGTTTTAGAAATAGTTTTGTGATGACCAATACAAAACAAGATAATTATTTTGTTTTGAAACTTCCCATTACATATGTGTCCTGTACAAAGCCATTTACGGTTACAAACCAAAGCTTGTGCCAGGGGAGTGAGGCTAATGCATCGTTCCAATCTCTGGTACAGTCTGAAAATATTAAACGAATGGTAAAACTTTTAATGTGTCCATTAACTAATACCACTAATTTACAGTAGGAGTGTATGTGACAGCCCACATAAATAATTTCTGAAATTTCTGTGATCCTTGTTATTACAATTAATACTAAAAAAATTCTCAGTTTCCCATGTACGATGTAATACTTCCAATACAATGCCATATATGATTATATATCTTGTAAATATTTTGTTCTCTGAGGGTGCCTGGTTTGCATCTTGTCTATGTTAGTAAATGAAATTATTATTATTCTATATCAGCATCCTTGTATTCCTTTCTCGCTCACCTTTAAGGAATGCACAGGTAGGTATAGTATCTAGATGCAACTGTGCAGCTGCCCTGATTATTTTTTTTAAGGCGAGAAAAAGTAAGCAAGCAGTACATGCAGTCTTTTCCACCTGCGCTTCCAGGATAACATCAGTAAATTCTTTGCCGTTCCTTCTTTCTCTGGTAGATGGCTAGGAAGGCAGACAGAATTTAGTTTCAAATCCTACCTGCACTTCATGGCCTTGGACAAGTTACAAACCTTTCTGAGCCTTAGGGTCCTCCAAAGAAAAATGGGATTGCTACTTTTTGAATTGTGTGGATGAAATGAGATTATATACCTGCCCTGTTAAGAGTACTCCATAAATGATAACTCTTAGTATTTTGGGCTTGCGAAATGATTTTAATTCCAAACACAAACGCTAGAACACAGATGGGGCTTAAGGCAACTGGTTAATAAAATGGAGGAGCTGTTGACCCTAGAAAGCAAAGGAGTCAGGGAGGACTTGTAAACTCAAATGCCTCCAGGGACCACTGGGCAATATAAGTGTGCGAAGTGACCAACTGAAGAAAACAGGCATAATCTGCTTGTGCTTGTACGTAATTATGGTAGATTTTAATTTTTTTTAATAACAATGCATTTCAGGGTTGAAACAGAATAACCAAACAAAAAATCAGAGATTACACTTCTGCGACCTCTGTTATATTACACGGATGCAGTAGGTGGAAGGCTATTTCAGATTGGTCCCACAAATTGGAATCCTATCGAGGGCAGACAAGAACATTGGGAATTGGGGAGCAGAAGGGTGCTGAAAAGAGAAATAGGGAGCCATAGAGAATGAGAGCACTTTCTTGGCATTGTTTCTACTATACCAGACCCTGCCTTTTTGAGTAGGAAAGTTGGATGCTTCCAGTAGCCTTCATGGTGGATAAACGGGTACGCACAGAATCACCTGGGTAGCTCTGCCAAGCAACATCTAAAATTACATCTAAAATTTCATCTAAAATTATCCACACACACCCCTGCACAAACCAAGATTTCGTTCAACAAGTCTTCTTTGGAGCTTGGTTTTGGTGTATTTTGAAAAATACTTGGCTCGATCGAGGTGCACACGTGCAGTTCCAGACCTGTGCTCTGGGATGTAGAGGTCTCTTCTCCAGTTTATTCTTTGAGAGTATCTCTGCTCTCAAAATGGTCACTTAAGATGCATGACTACATTGTAGTTTGGCACATTTCAGTTGTCAGAGTGATTTGTTTCACTCCATAAAGGAAGGATGAAAACAAAAAACAACATATGTAATTAAAGAGTGAGATATAGATTTTATGAGGAAAGATGGAAAAGGTATGTTAAGACGGAGCAGTTGATGACTTCAGGTATAGCAAAGCTAGTGATAGGCACATAATTATGCCTGATTAGACTATAACACAAGTCAAATTATATCACCTAAATTATAATAAATAGAGACAATAAAAATTGTTATAGTACAATTAAACTTTCTGCTGGTCCTGCTTTCCAGTAAAGGCATTGCACTGCATATGGATTTTTATTTCAATAAGGGGAGCTCAGGATTATTCACTAAAGATACAACAGTAAGTCCTGCAATAGGGCAGATGTGATCAGTTTGTTATTAGGAACTTTAGGTTAGAAATAAGAATTTCTTAACAGAAAAAGTTATTGGACATTTAAAATGACCAGAGAAGGTTGCAGAATTTCCTTCATTGCTGAATCAAAAATTTGAGTTAAAACAAGTAGCCATCTATCTTGAATAGTCTAGATGTGGTACCTACCAGAGACCGCATGCTGAATTCTTTCAGTGATGTGCAGAGACTCTGATGCTCTTAATTTTGGTAAGCCTTTTGCCATTTTATAATGCTGCTTTGGGCAAGGCTAGATGCAGTGCAATTAAGGGGAGTCAAGTTTTTCCTAATTTGTTGGTTGACATTTTCCTAATGTCTTCTAACGAGTAGATCAGTAGGTCATTATCATTATTCCTATTTTGGTGGTTTGCTAGTCAATGACTATTTTATTGGCAAAATTCCTCTATTTCTGACTTAAGCTCATTTGACTTTCTTCTTGGACCACACTTACACAAGAAATATATACATGTACAGAAGAAATCTATAAATGTATATGTGATTTCTTTCATTGCTAAGAAGACTTGTGATGCTAACATTTACTAAGCTTTGACTGCATGGCAGACACTATGCTAAATGCTCTACTTGGCTTAACTCATTGAGCCACACCTGACTCTACAGAGCTATGAATTACTGCTCTAGTCCTACTTAGCAGAGGGGAGACTGGGGCTCACAGAGCCCAGGAAATGTGTCCATAGCCAGACAGGTAAGAAGGGATGCTGTCGGAATTCAGGTTAGATTGGTCTGACTCCAGAGTTTAGACACACAATTAGACTCTGCTTTTATATTAGTGATTTTCAACTGACAATTTGCAGACTAATAATTCCCTAGAATTCACTTCTGTTAGAAACTTCTCTCATTTGTAAAGTTCTAACATTATTGTGGGGAACAATAAAACATCTTTAGACACTGGGTCTCAAACTTGGCTGTACTTTGGATCACCTGGGAGTTAAAAAAAAATACTGGTGTCTGGGTCCTCCTCCCAGATGTTCTGAGTTTATTGGTATGGAGTGTGGCCTTGACATTGGGATTGTAACCACCCACCCCCAGGTGATTCTATGTGCTGCAGAGTTTGTGAACTCCTGCTTGAGAACAATGCAAAATTTTAAAATCTAAATTCCCATCTTTTTATTAGTAAAAATGCAGTGATTTTTTTATTACAGAAATACTATGTATTTGCTTTAGAAACTGCAGACAAATAAGAAAAATATGATTAGAATGATCTGTAATTCCTTCACTGAAAGATAGCAGTGCAATTTTGGCTATGTATCTCTTTTCCCCCCTGTGGACATTTATATATTTAAAGTCTTAACTACAATGTTACTCTTATGTAGAATTTTAAATTTAATGCCAGATTGTCTTATGTCTGTTTTATGTATTCTTGTTTTACCAAAAATTCTTGATTCTTATACATACATAGTAGTGTCGTTGAATCTTTATAGGCCAGTAACTCCCAACGTGGGGCAATATCTCTATTAATGGAGAATTCGTGTGTTATATGAGGTCGCGCTTACCGAGCTGATTTAGATGTCTCTCCTTTGGACCCTCTTGTACAGCATGTTTTCAGATAAGTAAATCCTTGGTTTACTTCTTGTCTCCTTTATGGACTCTTAAGGCAAATCCCATGTGGTTTTTATCCCTGGGCTCTGGCATGCAGGACATGCTCAGTAAATGCTCGAATGGATGAGCAGACAGACAGATGTGTTCCAGGATCCAAGGTGGGCATGGTGGATATAGCTTGAAAAAATTACTGAAGCAGATTCAGACATTCCTGCAAAAAAAAATCATTTTGGGAAGATAGGAGCAGTAGGAAGAGAGGGTTAGAGTGGGATCAAAATAAGGACAGGTGCTAGGGGACATTTTAGGATTTGTAAGCTTCAGGTTCTTCAAGAAAAGTAACACATCCTCTGGTTCCAGAAACTTCCTGGACTTGGCCCCCTGCCAGGCCCTGTCTTCCCTGGGGAATAGCTCCTCTTACCCCAGTGTGGTGGTGGGATCGTGTTCTATCTTTCCATCTTTCATATCCTACTCATTTGTCATAATAAAAAGGCTGAAGTGGATAAACTCTCAGAGTAAGAACCAAATAATTTTCAGAGTTTCTCGTCTCCAGATATTTTCCTAATAAAGACTTGGACGAGAAACCACTGTAGTGTAATAGAGTTCCATTAGGGTTTAACCAGAGCCTGTCAATCAACAACTGTGTCTGTTAGAGTCTTTTCCTACAAAGGTCTGGGATGAGGATGACTTTAAATAACAGGGGGAAGAGCCTCAGAGCACTGAAGGGGCCTGCCAAGGGATTGCCCCAGCAGGGACAGGGCCAATGAAGGAGATGTCACAGATTTGCTCCTTAAGCCAGGCCTGGCTAGTTAGCCCAGACAACTTGGGGCTTCTCACTGAGGTATTTTTGGCCCTGCGACCACAAAGCCAGACATCTTTGCATCGTATCACTTATGAAGGATTTCTTTTTCATACTTTTTATAATGTCACTTTATAATCAGTAGATTTAATTGCATTCACAAGGCCTATAAATCAAAATAACTTTCTATTTTCTTTTACCTCTGAAAAACTTAACTTTCTGTTAAAATGTATTATGATTTTTACATTTTTATTATTCATTTTAAGACGAATTTTTATTAAAAAGGAGAAATTGCAAATGCATACATTTTACTTTATTAGCATATAAGGTACATGCACGAGTAAGTTATATTGCTGAAATCGGTTAGTATCGAGGCATTTGTGTATTCCAAAAACCATTAAAAAAATTAGAAGCCATTCTCTATCCTTCTTACTTCCATTTTTATCAAATTCGCGAAGATTTTACCAGACTTTTAATGTAAAGATATTAAAGGTAGTTAAAACCATTAGTCACCATGCTTTGCTTAGAATTCAGCAAAGAACAAAATTAAAGAATGAAATAGCGAGCTTGGTTTATTTGTCTGAATAATACTTGTCTCATGATAAAATCATAAATGAAAGAGAAGGAATGCTTATAGTTACATCATCTAGTATAGCAAAAAATAAGTAAAATAAATGCTGAAGGTGATATTTATTCAGATAACATCACTGGCCCCAGTGAAACTTGGAGATCTCTAGAATGTTGTGCCATCGGAGCCAGGAGTATATTATGATTTAATGGTACCTCTCGGCTGCATCTGATGAGCTGTCCTAGAAAAACATTTTGAAGCAATAAAGCATCCATTTGGCTCCTAAGTAATGAGTGAGGCCTTGCTCTTTGCATTAACTATTTATTCAGGAAGAGAAGTGACCAACTGCTAATAAGCTTTATCCAAAGAGGGTTGTGGAAAACGAAGAAATTGCAAAAGTGAGGTTCTCTTCAATTTCATATGCAATTAACAAATACCCAGAGCTGACCGGTTGGTGCTGCTCTTCCATGTGACTTTTG